GGGGCTCGATTGGCAAAGGCGCCGCTCTAAGATAAAGGATGCCATGCCCCGCAGGCAGATCAATCTTTCTGTGGCCCCATCTGGCGTTGCTGGGCAGTGGAATTCGCCCCCGCCCCCGCTCGGACCCAACCTTAGAACCTTTTGGGCGTGGCTGGGGAATGGAATTCGCCCCGGCCCACGCAGGATGACAACCCTACTCTAACGCCCTCTGGCGTGGCCTGGGAATGGAATTCGCCCAGTCCACGCTTGGACACACACTTCCCTATTCTCTTGGCGTGGCTGGGGAATGGCATTCGCCCCAGCCCACGCTCGGTTGTAACCCTTTCTGGCCCTGTTGGCCACCTACTCCAAGAGCCTTACCCGTCAGTCTTCTGGCCCTGTTGGCCACCTACTCCAAGAGCCTTACCCGTCAGTTCGGGGGAGCCTCAACCCACAACACATTCGCTCTGGCGACAGGATATTTGCGTGACCTTTAAAACCTTTTAGAGTCACGCAAATTCAAGGACCTGAGTCCGGAACCCCAGCCGAATTCCCAAAATCTTGCCTACCTAGTGCGGCGTGCTACCAGAACTCCAGCCGTATTTGTTGAGTAGGGCCAGCCGAAACAACGGACCGCAGGGTAGATGGGTATGCGAAGCATAACCGTAGCCCGCAGTCCTGGCGGAGTTCCAGTGCGGACGGCGCGAGTCTATGCCTAATTAGTGTGGCTTGCTACCAGAACTCCAGCCTTGTTTGTTGAATCGGACCAGCCGAAACAACGGACCGCAAGTTAGGTGGGTATGCGTAGCGTACCCGCAGCCCACAGTTTTGGCAGAATTCCAGCAACCTTATCTGCCCAGTGTGGCTAGCTACCATAACTCCAGCCTTGTTTGGTGAGTCGGACCAGCCGAACCAACGGACCGCAAGCTAGATGGGTATGCGAAGCATAGCCGTAGCCCACAGTCTTGGCAGAGTTCCAGTGCAAAGGCGCCAGCCTATACAGCCGCAGTGCAGCTGATGCAAAGACGCCGGTCATGACCCTCTGCGTACGGGGTTAGATTAGCAAACTAGCCAGTCTAAGTTAAATGATGCCGCTGCTGCAACGTAGTGCGTACTCCCAACACCTAAAATCCATTAGAATATTGGAAGGGCTCTGGGATATGGGTAGAACCACCTACACCCGCCAGAACCAGCAGGGGCCCTAGGGAAACGACAAGCTCCACAGTTTTTCAGAGCTGCGTGTAGTCGTGTCTACGAGGGGCCTGTTGAGGCCGTGGGCCAATCGTTCTGTGGCCCCATCTGGCGTGGCTGGGGAATGGAATTCGCCCCCGCCCACGCTCGGACCCAATCCTTCAGACCCCTTTTGCGTGGCTGGGGAATGGAATTCGCCCCAGCCCACGCAGGATAACAACCCTATTCAAACACCCTATGGCGTGGCAGGGGAATGGAATTCACCCCAGTCCACGTTTGGACACAACACTACCCTATGCTCCTGGCGTGGCTGGGGGATGGCATTCGCCCCAGCCCACGCTCGGTTGTACCCCCTCTGGCCCTGTTGGCCACCTACTCCAAGAGCTTTACCCCTCAGTTCGGGGACACGCTGGTGGCAATGCTGACCATGTAAGATGGGGAAGAGAAGGAGGAGGAGCGGGCCAGAAAACATACCTTCGGGGAAGGCTAAGGAGGAGGGGGCGGGTGGGTTGAGCTGCCCTGGGCTTGATTGGTGCCTCTTCCGCAGAGCAACTTGTCGGAGCACCTGGGGCCTGGCTGGCGCCCATCATGCATGAGCAGGCCGAATTAAGCCTTTGTCGCCCCGACCCACACTCCCTGGCCCTCGTGGTCGGGGTGCTCATCGGACCCCAGATGGGGGCCCTTAAATGGCTGCCCCGTGCGTCCCCGATCACCTCGAGAACCAGGGAGGCTGGGGGGTCTTCGGCACGGGGAGGAGGGGGAGGAGGAGAAGGAGGAGGAGGAGGAGGAGGAGGAGGAGGACGAGGAGGGACATATTCTCAAGCATGTTTCTTTAGTTGTTCGTTACGCTTGCCGACGCTCCACAAGTGACCAAGACGCTCCCCAGATAGCAGATGTTCTAAACTGCCCCAAATGCACCTCATCTTGGAATTAAACACCCCACGAGGGAGCCAACGCGGCCCAAGAGGAGCTGGCCTAAGAGGCCCCAGAGCGGCCCAAGAGCTCTACAGGCGGGAGGAGGAGGAGGCGGATGAAGAGGAGGTGGAGGAGAAGGAGGAGGAGGAAGAGGAGGAGGAGGAGGAGGAGGAGGAATGACCCGTCTCAGCCGCTGCTCCTTTCATCTTTCCTGCCTTACCAGGTCGCCGAAAAACCGGCGGAGAGTTTTCTGGGAACATGTCTGTCGATGCCAGTTGAAGGAGGAGGTGAGGAGTAGGAGTAGGAGTAGGAATATGACAGGAGGAGGAAGAGGCGGAGGAGGAGGACGAGGAGGAGGACCAGTGTAAACCCAAGAGTCATCAACGATGTTGGCATACACCCTCCCGTCGAGCTCCCTCTTCACATGCCCCATACAAGAGTTCGTTTCCACTGAAGAAACTGCCTCGTTGGAAGACAACCGTTTTCAGACCCTGACGCATGCCAAAACATCGCTCTCGGGATTCCAACGCCACAGGATCAGCCTGACCGTTGCGTCTTGACGATCTTAAACGTGCCAGAGCGCCATTCCTGGGATTTCAATAACGCGATTCAACGTAACTGCTGCACCATCATAATCCAGAATCCCTTCAAGACGCAAATTCTGGTAAGCTCGTCATGGGAAGCCGTGAAACCTGTGCAATTTCTAAGACGAGTGTGCGCGGCGCCAAGGCGAGAACCACATTTTGAAAAGAAGCCGCCCTCAATCCGTGAAGCCCTTGCAATGTTTCAGACGAATGTGCGCGGCGCCAAGGCGAGAACCACAGTTGGAAAACCACCCGCCCTCAATCCGTGAAACTCTTGCAAATGTTTGAAAGCGAATGTGCGCGGCGCGGAGGCGAGAGCCATATTCTGAAAAGGAACAGCCACATTCTGAAAAGGAATCGCCCTTAATCCGTGACACTCGTGCATTTTAAGACAAATGTGCGCGGCGTTAGGGCGAGAGCCACGGTTTGAGAAGGAACCGCCCTCAATCCGTGAAGCTCTTGCAAGTGTTGAAAACGAATTTGCGCGGTGCTAAAACAAGAGCCACACTTTGGAAACGACCCGCCCTCCTTTTGTGAAGCTGTTGCCATGTTTTAAACTTCAGGGTCGTCAGTGGTGCGGAAGTCTCAGGCAAAACGCCAGGACCGCCCTAAAAACTGGCCTCGGGGTGCGACAGGGAAATATTATTTATAAGGAGAAGGAATGGGGGAGGAGGAGGAGGAGGAGGAGGAGGAGGAGGAGGAGGAGGAGGAGGAGGAGGAGGAAGAAGAGGAGGAGCAGGAGGAGGAGGAGGGGCAGGGGGAGGAGAGGAGGAGGAGGAGGAGGAGGAGGAGGAGGAGGAGGAAGAAGAGGGGGAGGAAGGGGAGGAGGAGGAGGAGGAGGAGGGCGAAGAGGAGGAGGAGGAGAAGGAGGAGGAAGAGGAGGAGGAGGAGGCGGAGGCGGAGGCGGAGGCGGAGGCGGAGGCGGAGAATGAGGCGGAGGCAGATGCGGAGGCGGAGGCGGAGGCGAAGGCGGAGGCGGAGGCGGAGGAGGAGGAGGAGGAGGAGGAGGAGGAGGAGGAGGAGGAGGAGGAGTAGGAGTTGGAGGAGGAACAGGAAGGAGCAGGAGGAGGAAGAGGAGGAGGAGGAGGAAGAAACTTGAAGAGAGTCGAGAATACACAAGGACGAGGAATCCCTACCCATCCGCTGATTCATCCTTCGCTCCCTTTCTCGTTCTGTCCCTTTGTGCCCCTCCTGCCACCCTGCTTCCTTTTTCGCTGCCTGCCCTCTTCCTCCTTCTCTCCCTCATTCCCTGCTCCCGCGACCATGGCGACGACGCCGGCGACGACGCCGACGTCGACGGCTCCGTCGACGCCGACGATCCCATTCCCGCGTTCGTGGCCTGTGGGATCGCCCGCCTGCCATGCGAATGGATGAGGGTAGGAATAATGAGGATGAGGATAAGGTCTTCAGAGTTGGCCAGAACCTACGCGCGCGCGTAGCGCGCGTGGTTCTAATATAGATCGATCTAACGACATTTGGACAGACAGGCAGACACACGCACATAAACATATATGTATAACATATGTATAATATGTACATGACTACCTGTATGTACGTATCTATATATATATATATGTATAGAGGTCGGTCGATCAAAATGTGTGCATCTATAGATGTAGATAGATACAGTGGTGTTCGGCCATCTCGTCACCGCGCCTTCGTTGTAGGTCAGAGGCCTCTTGGATGCCTGTGGGCAGGCCGTTGGGGCACTCTTGCGGCATCTTTGGGGCCTCTGGGGCCGTCGTGGGGCCAGTTTGGGCATCTCGGAGCGCTCTAGGCCCGACCTCGGGCCATATTGGACCGTTTTGGGCGCCTGTTGAGGCCGTCGGGGCCCAATTTGGGGCCTTCTTGGTTCTGAAAAAGTTATGCCGGGACACGCCCCGGCATGCGAAAAGAGACCCAGTACGCAGGAAACCCGGACAGGATGGAGGGTTCAAGGGACCGGAGGGCACCCCAATTCGCGTCTCGAAAGCACTACGCGTATAGTGCATGTATGTGTGTGTGTGTGCATGAACATTTATGCGTACGATCTATATTCCAGCTGTAAGCATACAGGTGCAGACACGTGTATGTCAGTTCTCATGTAGAAACTTGCTTTCGTAACAACACACGTAAACATGCACATGCATGTGTGTTTATACAGATGCACGTATATATGCACACATAAAGCCCAAGAAAGTTGCCGCGTATGTATATGCATATGTAAATAAAGGGGCTCAAGGGGCTCAAGCCCCCCCAGAAAGTGTCTGCCGGCCGCGCGCCTGCCGGCCGCCCGCCTGCCGGCCGCGCCCGCCTGCCGGCCGCCCGCCTGCCGGCCGCGCGCCGCGCGCCATGAGCAGCACAGCGCGGCCTCGCTGCGGTGGGGCGGGCGTCGGGATGTTCGCGGACGACGTGCAGTCGGATGGGTTGCCGAATGGGGTCGGTCCCGGACCCCGAGCACCCAGGGCCCCGGGGGATGGCCAGATTCTCGAGGGGAGCGCGGAACCAGCGGCGGGGGGAGCCGCTGGGACCGACAGGCTGCCCCCGTCCTCCGATTCCCACCCCCCGCCGCATCGCCAGGTTCCCCCACCCACCTCTGGCCCCCCCCATGGTCCCTTCCCGCCTGCCCTCGCTTCGGCCCGCCCTGTCAGGGAGGCACTTCAGCCTGCAGGACCCACCTGGAATTCGGCGGCGCTCCTGGTGCTGAACGGGGGCTCTATGCTGATGACCGCGACCCCGAGTGCGCTCGGCGCAGACTCCGAGCCGTGGGAGTTCTTTCACCAGGGGGTCATCCGCCACACGGACTTCGGCGACCAGTTGGAGTGGAGCGACCTCCAGGGCAGCGGCGATCAGATGGAGTTCAGCATCCACCAGGACATCAGCCACCAGCTGGGGACCGACGCTGGCACCGACGCTGGCGCCGACTCCGGTCCGGTCGCCAGCAGCCCCGACGCCGGCACCTTTGACGTCGCCAGCAGCATCGACGCCGGCACCAACTGTGTCACAGAGGGCAACATCGACGCCGGCACCGGCGGCGGCACCGACTCCAGCACCAACGCCCACAGCATCGTCGCCGGGACCAAGTCCGGCACCAGCGCCGGCAGCCTCGACTCTGGCACCGACGCTGGCGCCGACTCCGGCATCAACGACCCCGGCACCGACACCAGCAGCGTCGACGGCTCGGGCGCCATCATCATCACCGACGCCACCATCTACCGTAACACCGTCACCGACACCGTCGCAAACACCCACGCCAGTACGGTCGCCAGCACTGTCGCCAGCGCCCACGACGCGCAACACCAGCACGACGACATCAACGACCACCAGGAGGACGTCGACGTCCAGCTGGAGGACGCCAACGGCGGCGTCTGGGACACGATGCCGGAGGGCCTCATTGGAGTCCTTGGATGGACGGGCGGCCCTTCAGTACTGGCGGCCGTAACCGAGGCCTCTCGAGGCTCATTCCAGAGCGTGGTTCGGTTTGCCAGCGAGCAGCTGAAATGCACAATTGTCTGTGTCGGCTGCCATGCGGACGCATCCTTCGACGGACACGCAACCTGCCCGGAGTGCGACGCGCTGCCGTACCGTCGACTACTTGCGGATCTTTTTGGTCCGTTTCGCACGCTATTGGGCGCGGTGGCCTGTCTATATCCACGTGATTGCCGCCCGAGCACTCCGAGGTTGGAGCTGGGGGAGTCTGGCCAGGTTCTCCTGTCAGGCGGTTGGCGCCTCTTCTCGCAGCTGACGGCCACGGCACTGATGAAGAACCAAGCTCTGTTGGTACGGCTGATGGAGCAGTGGCGCCGTAGGGCTGAGATCCATGAGGCACGCCGCGCTCGGCTTCAGCTTCGAGCCGAGGCAGCCTCCGTGGTGGTTGCGACTGCGGCCGAGGACACGGAGCAATTGCTGATCTTCGGTCCCGTGAGGAATCAGGCTGCCCCGACGACCCCGGGCACGGTGCCAGGCGACGAGGGCCCATTCAGCTTCCAGATCCACGACGGTCAGGGCGTCGACGAGGTGCACGCCGACCACGGTGGTCGCCACGCCTACGACGACCACGACATCGAGACCACCGTTGGCCAGGACGCCCGGAGTAATGTCCAGGATGGCCGAGGCGCCCAAGGCGGCCAAGACGGCGCCCATCCTGGCACCCACGATGATCAGGACATCCAGCACAGCATCCACCACGGCATCCTCGACGTCCAGGACGATACAGGTGTCCATGACACCCACTGCGGCATCCACGAGGTCCAGGAGCAGCACGACGAGGACCAGCAGAGGCAGGACCACGTCGAGGAGCAGCTCTCCGACGAGCCTCGTGACGAGGACCGCAAGCAGCATGACCGCACGCCGCACCACGGTGAGCTGAAGTTCGACACGGGCGCCCAGGACTGGGGCCAGCAGCACGGCGCCCACGACGATCACGACCTCGAAATGAGCCACCATGATTCCCACGTCGGCAGCACCATCGCCATCACCCTCGCCAGCACTGGTACTCCCACCTCCGACCTGCGCCAGCAGCAACTCCCCGGGGCGAGCTCGGGGCTATTGCCGAGAATTTCGGCCGCGTTGGGAGGGCACTCCGTCGTCGGCATGCTGCTAGACGCCCACGACAACCAATATTACCACAACCACGACAGCCGCAACATCCAGGACGTGCACGACGTCGAGCAGCAGCTTGACACGGACAGCCAGGAACGGGTCAAACACCACGTCGACGAGCAACACGACGAGGACTTGCAGCAGCAGAAATGGCCGCACGACGGCGACCAGCACCAGAACTCGGACAACCAGGTATGGGACCGGCACGGTGAGAAGCAGCGCGATGAGGACCAGGAGCAGCAGGACTTCAAGCCGCGCGACGGCGAGCAGCAGCGCGACTCGGACATCCTCAAGTGGGACCCGACCCACGTCGAGAAGCAGCGCGACGAGGACCGGCAGCAGCTGGACCTCACGCCGCTCGACGGCGAGCACCAGCTCGACACGGACATCCAAGAATGGGCCCAGATCCACGTCGATGAACAGCGCGACGAGAACAGTCAGCAGCATGACCGCAACCTGCGCGACGGTGAACAGCAGCTCGTCACAGACAGCCAGGAACGCGACCAAATGCACTTCGAGGAGCACGACAACCGAAACCAGCAGCAGCAGCAGCAGCAGCAGCAGCAGAGCCGTCTCACCCATCAGCACCAGCAGGATGTGCGGAAGCCCGCGACAGGAGGCTTGCAGATCTTCGTGAAGATACCGGGCCGGAAGTCCATCTGCTTGGATGTCCTGGCGGACGGCATGGTCGATTCCATCATGAGCGCGATCCAGGACAAGGAAGGCATCCAGACAGACCAACAACGTCTGACCTACGCTGGAAAGCTGATGGAGCCCGGGCGCGCGCTCTCGACCTACAATGTCGGGAACGAGGCCACAGTGTACCTGCAGCTCAGGCAGGTGAGGCTCCTCGGGGGCATGGACAGCGAAGGCTCGCCGCAGCAAGGCTTATCCTGTCAGCATGTGGCTTGCCCCTTCTATGGTGCGCGTGTTCCCGCCGGGGACTCGGGAGATCGTTGTCGCTGGTGTGGCCAAGCTTTCCGGCCTCCTACGGGTGCCCCGCCAGACTTGCTAGACGCTGACACCGCCATGGCCGCCGATACGGATGACATTCATACAGGGTTGTCACAGGCTGCGGCTACGCTTTCCTTGGCGGCAGTCCTGCCCGCGCCCCCGGAGCCTGTTCCAGGGGGCGCTCTTTTTGACGTTGCAGGGCACGCACGCGCCGCGCCTGGGCTATCCGCACCAGGAGTCGCTAGGCCCGTTCGCGCTGCGCCTGCTGGCGCGGACGTGTCCGCCCTTGCTTTCAACGAGCTGCTGGAGGCGGAGGTGCTCAAGCACTTTGAGGTGATTCAGGCGCAGGTTGCTGTGCAGGGCGAGGCTATTCGACTTCACCCCCGGAGACTCCTTGACATCTCGGGCCCCACTCCAGCACCAGCTGGAAGCCATGGGCTTCACGCCGCATGCCAACGACCCGTGGCGCCGCATCGGTGTCCCTATTGTTGAAGGTCCGCAGCCCTCCGCTGCGGGGATCGAGCGGCGGTGGGAGATCGCGCGCCTGCTCTTCTCGTGCGCCGACTCACCTGCATGGGACTCCGCGGAACGGGACACGGCTTACGCGGCCAAGGCTGCCAAGAAGGAGGCGGTGGACGTCTGCCTACAACGGCTGCCCCAAATACTTGGGGACAGGCTGCGCCTCCGCAGTTCTGGACTGCCGCAGCGGCAGGAATTGGGCCACGTCGCCCTCGACCACATCCTGCAGACCGCGGCCTCCCAGAACGAGGTGGTGGCTACACAGCTCTCTGCGGTTTTACCCTCACTGTCGACATCGCCGTCGGTGCTGGAGTCATCGGAGGCCAGGCTCTTGACGCAGCGCGCCTTCAAGGGGGAGGGCGTGTTCCAGAACGCGGCCTGGGACAGTCTTGTCCTGTGGGCCCCAAAGGACGCCTCGGCTCTGGGCCGGATGCTGACGAGATGTGCGCAGTCCCCAGGGTCGCGAGTGGAGAGGCTGGCCCTGCGACTGCTTGTGCCCATGGAGCTGTATCCTGGCTGCGACACGGTGGAAAGCATGCGAGACCTCTTCTGGCACTCCCTCTTGGGCGACAAATGGGTGTCTTGGGTGCGAGCGATGTCCTTCATCTCCTACCCGCTGGAGGTGGCGTTGGACGGCCAGGGCGCTCCCCGCGTCGCCCGCCAAGGCTTGCTGGTCGTCACCGTCTCCATGTCCATGGCCCGCTCGCCCCCTGCGCTGATCCGCGTGGCCGATCCGCTTCTCACGACGGTGGGCTCCCAGTGCCTTGTCGTGGACTTCCCTGCCAGGGACTTCGTGGCCGTCCGGCGCTTGTTGGAGCAACATGGGCGGCATCTGGAATTGCGCGTGGGCGAGCTCGCACGGAGCCCCGGTTCCACCAGCGACCTCCCGCGGGCCCGCATTAAGGTGCACTTCCCACAGGCCGTGGTGGCCTTGGACGTTCGTATCTTCGCGGATGCGCTCCGGAGCCGACATTTCCCAGCCACTGTCTACGTGGGTCGCCGGTCGCTGTATTCGGACTCATCTTCGCTGCTGGTGGAGCTTCTGGCGCCTGAGATCTTCTACCACGTGTGGCCTCTTTGCCAGGGGGCCATTTTCGTGACCGGGAAGCTGGTGGCGGCATCCACCAACGCAGAGCCAGACGTGTGGCGACCTGTTCTTGATCAGCTGTTGGCGGAGGACCCCGCATCAGCGGTGATGCGCGCGCGGCATCGCCCCTCCCGCCGCGGAGGGCGCGCATGGGTAGCGCCCGAGGCCACCTCCAGGCAGCTGGATGCAACGAGGAGGGCTCGGGAGGCAGGACGGCGTGCACGCGCAGCGGGAACTGCGACCGCGGAGCTGTCAGTCGAAGGGTCGATGGGCCACAATCCCAAGGCAGTCATTGACGGTCTCATGCAGGTGGTCGCCGCCAAGCTGGGCACCCAGCTGATGGACGCCTCGCCCTCGGACGCCGTGGAGCTGGGTTCATGGCGCTGGTTGGCTGCCCAGGACCCTTCTGTTCCCAGCGGTCGGGTCCGGCTCTTCCTTTCAGACCTCGACGCGGTGGCCCAGCTGATGAACGCAGTCCACGGCCGCGCCATCCAGCTGGGGGGTGACTTCATCAGGATTGCTGTCCACAAAGACCTGTTGGACTCTTCCGGCGGTTCGGGAAACGGCCAGCGGGGGCAGGCGACCCCGGGCCCTGCTCCCGCCCAGCAGACCATGGGACCCGGTCGCGCTCTCCACGACGGGGGGCGCTTGCCGCGAGCTTGAGCCAGGGGTCTGGGCAGGCCCCACTAATTGAAGTCGTCACCGACCTCGGCCGCGCCCTGTACGTCGCCGAGATGTCCTTCACCATGCGGAGGGCTCTTTGCGAGACCAGGCGTGTTCATGCACGACCTTCTTCTTCTTCTTCCGCACGCCGCGTTCCTTCACCGTGCTTGCGCGATGCCAGTGCTGCCACCTGCTGCGCGGCCGCCCCGCATCCGGAGACGACTTGCCCCACCTGCTCCGCCGGGCCATCCGCCGGGCGGGCCAGCCCAGCCGACGCCCGACGCGGGCCCTCGCAGGGTCGCGTTAGCCGGGCCCTTCACTGGTGACTTCAAGGGCGCCACCTGGAATGCACAGGCCCTTTTCGCCCGAAGAACGTGCCGCCACCTGTCCAAGGCGAGATACCTACGCCGACTCGCTGGACAGCATGATTTCGCAACCGTCACGGAGTCGCACGGCTCAGATGGATCGACCGCTATCTGGGGCGGCCCCCGGGACTGCCAGTGCCGGTGGTCTCTGGGCACCGCCCGTCGCGCTGGAGTTGGCGTTATTGTCCGGCGCTCATTCCTCGAGCTCTTCGACAGTGTTCGGCCAGAAGATTGGATTGAAGTATCTCCAGGCCGTGCGGCTGTGTTCCGGCTTCGAGGGCCATCCGGGCCCCTGGACATTTGGGCCGTGTATTTTCCCACGGGGACGCCCCGCCTTCTCGCCGATGGCCGGGCGGCAGCTGCGTCTCCAAAGATGGCAGTCCGCCGGCAGCGTCGCGACCTCCGCCTGCTGGTAGCTGGTGCTTGTCGGCTGCCCTCCGAGGCGCTCGCAATCCTGACGGGGACTTCAACTGGGCCACACAGGCGACCGACCGGACCTCAACCGGCACGGGAGACAGCGCTGGGGCCCGCGACGCTGCGGAGGAACGTCAGTGGCAGCGGGCGGCGCAGGCGCCCTTCCGCTTCCATGAGCTCCACCAGGAGGCGCCGACGCACGCATCGGCATCTGCAAGGTCTCGTCTGGACCGGGCGTACGTAAATTTCGACGCCAGCGACCAGCTGGACAAGCAGCTGGGGTGTGCTGCGCTGGAGTGGGCCCCGCGGCGAACCGCCCACCGAGCTTTGTCCTTCTTCCGGAGGAGCCCGGTCCACGGACTTGACGACATGCGCCCAATTGCAGCCGAGATCGTGCGGCAGGAGTCTTGGCCCGAGCGGGTCATGTTGGAGTTCGACGACTTGCGAGCCTCCGACCCGGACGCGCACCAGCCGATCCGGATGCTGCTCTTGCTGATGCGCGCCACCCGCGCAGTCTCGGACAGGATGGGCGCGGAGCTCAGGAGGCAGGCGCCGGATCCCGCGCAGCTGGACGACAAGGTGGGGTGGGCGATGCGTTTTATCCGTGCTGCAGAGGGCCGCCGTGTGGGCGCGATGCGGCGGTGTCTGGCTGCATACCCGCCCCTCGCCGACTTGGTTCCCGATCCGCTTTCGGAAGCTCTGCGCTCCCACGACGGGTTGCGGCCATTCCGCCAACGCGCTGTCGACCTGGCAAGGGGCGCCGCCGTTGCGGACCTCCAGGCGCTCAACGCGGACCTCCGTGACCTCTCGGACGATGCTGCCCGAATTCGTAGAGGGCGGATTCAGGTCCGCCTGCAGAAGCTACGGCCGGGGCGGGCTGGAGCGCTGAACGCTGTGCGCGCGCCTGGCGGCACCGTGCATGCCGACCCAGTGCGCATGGCTGGGGCCCTGCGCGGCCACTGGGGAAACGTCTTTGGCCCCAGGCGGTGCGACCGAAGAGCGTTGGCCTGGTGGTTGTCCGACGAGCTGCCGCGCGCCGCTGGGGGCGCTGCGCACCCCGGCATGCCCCCGTCAAGCGATGCCAGGTGGAAGCTGCAGAGGAGCGACGTGGAGGAGGCCGTCAAATCAGCATCGCACTCGGCGCCGGGGCCCGACGGAGCGCCTTTTCTCGCTTGGAAGCGCTTGGGAAGTGTCGCGGTGGACATATTGTTCCGCGCTGCTAATGACATGTCGGCCGAAGGAGGACAGGATCGGCTCGCTCGCCTCTACGAGGACGCTGCTTTCCCCGGCCAATCGTTCAACTCCAGCTTAATTCTTAATTGTCGTCTTGCCGAAGAGCCCGACAGGCCAGCTCGCTGGGGGCGGCAATTTTTACGAACCCGCGGACACCCACCCCTTGAACATTGACAACGCCGAGAACCGCATCCTCGCGAGTGCGGCGCGTTTGCGCGTGGAGCCTCTCTTGGCGGAGTGGATCACCGAGATGCAGCAGGGCTCCGTGGTCGGGCGCTCGCTCCTGTCGAACGTCGTCACTGTAGATCACGAGATGATGCGGTGTGCGCTACAAGAGGAGGAAGGTGCCGCGATATTATTTGACTTCCGCGCCGCCTTCCCCAACATCGCCCACCCGTTTCTGAAGGACGTGCTCTCGCATCTGAACCTCCCTAATTGGTTCTTGGCCTTCTTCGACGCCCTCTACCAGGATAACCGTTGCGATCTCGTCGTCGGCGGGGCGCGCCATACAGGCTTTTCGCTGCAGGCGGTGGTCCTGCCTGACGGCCTCCAGCGGCTACCAGAGCTTTCTGTGATACTCGCGGAGTACGCCGTCATATCGGTACTCCAGCTGAACCTCCCCGAAACCGTCTTTGCGCCGCTCTTCCCAGACAGCGCGGCCGACATGGAGTTTCGAATCGCGTGGGCCTGCCCCGGCTGGGCCGGCATGCGGGTTGCTTACCGCGCGAAATATTTGGGGTTTTATCTCGGGCCGGACAGGGGCCACCGCGCTTACGAGGCGCCGCTGAGGAAGTTCCGGGAACGCGCCAAGGCCTGGGGCGAGGTCGGCGCAGGATTGCTATACACATTGACCGCGTACGCCGTCTACGTTCTCCCGGTGCTCGCGTACGTCGCTCAGTTGGACAGCCCCCCGGACAATTGGAAAGAAATTGAGGTGGAAGCCTTCCGGCGACTCCTCCCAGGTCCTGCCGAGTGGTGCCAGCCTGAGGATTTGCAGTGCCTTCGCCATCTCGGGTTCCCAAAGGAGCTTCCCGACTTACGTGCAGTGGCGACGGCTGCGCAGTGCAGGGTGGCGCACCTGGAGGCGCCCAGCCAGGGCGGCCTCCGCGCGACGGCGCGAGCTGGAGAACTGCGGCGATGGCGCGCCGACTGCGACGACATCATGCGTGCGATTCGCTGGTCCGACTGGTTCGGCCGCTCCTTTGCGGCCCAGTTGGCGTCCGCCCTCGCGCTCGCCGAGAACACCGGCGCCACTCCAGCAGCAATCGAATGCCGCCTATCAAACGGATCACCGAGACCTTTCCCGAGGCTGGTCGACACGGCAGTCCGCAGAGGTTTCCAGCGGGAGGTGCGTCAGATGGCGCGGCCAGACCCGGTGCTCCACATGGGCGCCCGCATGCAATAGCGCATGTCCCGCTGGGAGTTGCCAGGCAACCCCCGGACGCACGGTGAGAGAGCCGAGGCCGTGCTCCAGGTGCTGTCCACGCTGGTCCCACCGCGCGTTTGGGCCGCTGTCCGTCGAACTTTGTGGAACGGGTGGATCACGGCCAGGCGCTGGCCCACTGGGCCCAGGGCCGGCGCGACTTGCATTTTCGGGTGCGCTGGATCCGAGGATTCCATCGAGCACTATTAATGTGCGTGCCGGGAGGTTGCGGGCTGCGCGCAGTCGCACCCCCAGCGGCCAGGGCAGACTTCCTCATCGTGGACCAGCCGCCCTGCCAGCGTGCGCGCGCCGACGTGACGCTGCGCGCTCTGCGAGTGGCTGCTGCGTACAAGGTGCGCAACTGGTGGCGCCACTCCACCCGGCGTACGCCAGCCATGGCACGCGAGGCTTTGCATCAAGCCGTGCGGGACCTGGTGTCAGGGCATCCTCGCGCCATTCGGGTGCTGGACAGGGCGGGCCTCCAGGCCAACTAGAGCTGCAGTGGGCTCCGCAGCCCCGCGCCGACCTCATCCTGTTCACCTTCTCCTTCCTCCGCTACGTCCTGCTCGCCTTCACCTTCCTCGGCCACGCCCCCCCCGCGCAGCAGCACGACGACGAGCAGTGCGACGGCCACCGGCGACTACGCCGGCACGAACGCCAGCGCCGACGACAGCTTCAGCGCCAGCACCAAGCCAGCACCTACGCCGGCACTGATGCCAGCACCGACGCCAGCATGCGCATACGCCGGCACCACCGCCAGCCTCTGCACTAGCGCCAGCGCCGACGCCGGCACTGACGTCAGCACGAACGCCGGCGCATGCGATGGCACCAACGCCCGCGCCCACACCAGCATCGATGGCAGCACCGACGCCAGCACCAAGGTTGGCGCCTCCACAGGCGCCGGCGCCAGCATCGACGCCAGCAGCAACGTTGGCGACTACGCCGGCACCAACGCCAGCGCCTACACTAGCCCCGACGCCAGCACCGACGCCAGCACCAACGCCAGCGCCTGCGGCGGCACCGACGCCGGCGCCTACACAAGCACCGACGCCAGCACCGACGCCAGCAACAACGCTGGCGCCTACGCCGGCGCCAACGCTGGCACCGATGCCAGCATCAGCGCCAGCGCCGATGCCAGCACCAAGCCGGCGCCTACGCCAGCATCGACGGACGCCATCACTAAGTACGCGCCTACGCCGGCACCAACGCCAGGACCTACGCCATCATCAGCGCCAGCACCGACGCCAGCATCAGGCCAAGCGATATGCCACTTCGGCTTCGACATCCAAGAGTGGCACGAGCAGTTCGACGGCCACCAGCGCCTACGCCAGCACCAATGCCAGCACACCAGCACCAAGCCAGCGCCTATGCCAGCACCAACGCCAGCACCGACGCCAGCATCAACGCTTGCGCATACGTCGGCACCACCGCCAACGCCTAGCCCAGCGTCGACGCCAGCACTGACGCCAGCACGGACACCGGCGCATGCGCTGGCCCCAACGCCAGCGCCTAGACCAGCACCGATATTAGCACCGACGGCATCACCGAAGTGGGCGCCTTCACCAGCACCGGCGCCAGCAGCGACGCCAGCATCAACGCCGGCGACTGCGCCGGTACCAACGCCAGCGACTACACCAGCGCCGACGCCAGCACCGAAGCCAGCACCAATGCCAGTGCCTACGTTGGCACCAACACCAGTGCCTACCCAAGCATTGACGTCATCACCGACGCCAGCACCAAGCCAGCGCTTACGCCGGCACCAACGCCCTCCCGGGGACGCCATGACGGATTACAGCATTCTTGTTTCTGGCATCCGCCAGCACACAGCACGACAATTACCAGCAACACGATCTTAAGCTACACAATGGGCTGCTGCAGTACGACGGCGTGCAGTACGACGGCGTGCAGCACGACAGACTCCAGCAGTCCGACGCTGCACCGCGGCGGAGTGCCGCACCCGCGACCATGACAGCAGAGTGCACGTAGCACGACAGATACCACCGTCTCGACTCCGAGCGCATGTCGATGAACAGCACGGCGGAGCTGCACATCTCTGTACGGCACGACGGGCTGCAGCAGTACGACATTGAACAGCAAGACAGCCCACCAGCAGCACCAAGCCCCAGCAGTGCTGCGCACCCCCAGGACAGCGTGGGCCCTCAATCGTTTGGTCGGGCTTCGGTTTCTGATTGTTTGCTGTTTTTTTGCTGGTTCTGGTTGCGCTGCTTGGATGTGTCTTGGGGCTTCGTTGGGGCTTCTGTAAATTGGTGTGTCTTCTTTCACCTACAGGCTCTGACCAGGATCCGCCCTCAGGAACGAAGTTGGCTGCAAGGTGCATTACGAGTTCTGGCCGCACGACGTGGGGCGGCATGGCGGGCACCTGCAGCGTGAGGCCGGGGCCGGCGCGCGTGGGCAGTTGCCGCTTTCACTCCCAGCGGACGGGAATTGAGGCCCCCCCTCTCGTCTCTTTCTCTTCCTCGCTCCCCCCCGTGTGCAGCAGCTAGATTTTCGGAGGCCTTTGTGAGAGCGTGCTGCTCCGTGGAATCGTGGTGCTATTCGGTTGGCGCCCTGAAGTTTGCAGGCTGTCTGCGGCCTTTCTATATGGGGACGCTCGGCGATAGCGCGCATTTGCCCCCTCCTCTCCTCCTGTCTTTCGCCCCTGCTCGTTCTTCCTCCCAATTGGTGCATTGGCACTGCGTGCATGCAGGCCGAGGCCGGTTTCCTCGCCCGGCACTGTCCGACCCTGTAGGCCGCCGCCCAAGTTTTCTTGTGTCCGCCTTAGGCTTGCGCAGTGCTCTCGGCGGGGTTTGGCTCTCGCATGGCCGCCTCGTATCATTATGCTTCATCTTGTTTCTGACGCGTGCTTCGCACCCAGATTTAGTGCAACATCATTTGCTCCACTTAGCTATTCCAGCAACTTCGTAACTAGATATGCTTGCCTTGCCATGGGCGCCATGGCTTATGTACTGTATTTGACTTTAGCGTGCGATGGGCATACGACTCGCGGAGCCTCCTGGCTGTGAGCGTGTCTTCGCCCTTTGTTCTCCATGCTGTTTCATCCAGCCGGCTCTCTCTTCATCTGCTTTCCTGCTCGTCCTCTCCGTTTCCATCCAGGTCTCGCCGATGCGAAGTGGGATATGTTCGTATCGTTCCGCGTTCGCATGATGGCATAGGGTATATGTATCATGCTCCGGGCTTTTCGTCTTATTCGAATGAGACGTCTCGATTTTCCTCTTCGTGCTACTGCTCGTGCTACTGCTCGTGCACCGAATCCGTGACACATGCATTTGCCTTGATATGTGAGCCCAAGTTGTTTGTGTTGGGCCTGGCAGGCGGTGTGGAGAGTACGTGTGGCGCGTCGCGGTCGTCCCCTTCCTCGTCCTCCTCCTTCTTCTCCCAAAATAGCCCGCTGAAAAAACATGTATATATAGATATGTGAATTTGCATACGCGCATATATAATACATATTCGTACATGTAAAAAACATGTGAAAGCAGTCAGGAGACATAGCCTCCATTCAAACAACAAATCCTTCAATATTCGTAGCGCATGGGAATTTTAGCGGCGATTGCGTGCGGTGCGAGGGCGAGAACAACATTTCGGGACTGAGCCCCCCTCCATATTTCATCTCGTCGAAGTTTCTGAGGCCGATGAGTCGACATCCTCGCGGTCGGTGTGTTCGAGCCCTCGCCTCAAGCGTGCCCATTGTTTAAAGTGGCGTGATTTTGCTCGACGGTTCAGGTTTAGGTCCGCCCTGGATCGGGACCCGGGACGTCCCTGGAACCAAACACGCCCAGAATGTTCGACCCTCGATGATCAATCGTCGCAAGTGAAGATAGCACTGCTGGAAAGTGCTCGCGGCAATCGTCGCGAAGCCTGCACATTTGTTCTGGCCAAGCTGTTCTTGCGCATCTTCAGTAGGCTGGCGCAGCTTTTGTTTTCAGTTCCTGCACGCGGAGTGCACGGGGCTCTGCGTGCAGGGCTGGTCTTCGTCTCATATTCTTGACGGGAAGGGGACCCAGAGTATCAGTCTCGTAGTGCTCAAAACGCGTTGTGCTCAAAAACGTGGCGCTTCCAGCGGCCCTGGCCCCATCCTCCGCATGTGGCTCGCGCCGTGCTCGTTGTTTTTCCTGGTCCGAGGACCCAAGACAACGTCCTGATTTGTTTGTCGGTGGACGTTGCCGTCATCGCCGTCGTACATGCCGTGTGTTGGCATGCACGGAGCAATTGCTGCAGGTCGTCCTCTTGCTTCTTGATCGTGTACATCTAGGTGCTGTTGTTGTGGTCTCCCCGCCTTCCCCTGCAGCCCACATCTTCTCCTTTTCAGGGGATCGGCGACGTGGAGGTTATACTGGAGCAGGGCAGAGACACAGTGACGTATCATCGTGGCTGGTGCCTCCTCCGAGGATCTCGGGGTTAGTCCCGAGCCGCCTCCCTCCCGCACGCTTCTCCATGAGCTGAGACAAATGGAGGGCGCTCTCAACCAAAGTGTCGGCGGCGAGCGGCGGGGGGGGGACGTGAGAAGGAGGAAAGGGTAGGTCTTCTCAGAAGGCGGCGGGGCTTCTCGGAAGACCTCTGGCCTTCTGAGAAGTTGTCCTTGTCTTCGGGGAATCCCGAGCCTTCTGATAATGCCCAACCCTTTTCACTTCCCCCCAGGCTCTCGTCGCCAACCCTGTCCATAAGCTGAGAAACAATTTGTATCAGCTCAAATTTGAAATTGGGGACGGGAATTCTCAACCAACGTAAGAATTGTAAGGCTGCCCAGGTTTTGTCAGAAATGCCCCCCCTCTCGAGAAAAAGACCTCGCATCAGCCCCGATTCCCTCCTGTTTGGTCTGAGTAGGGCCCTTCTGTCCATTGGGCTTTTTATGTTGTTTATTGCCATATGTTTGAGTGTTGGCCGCTTGGTGTCGTGTGCCATATGTTCACCCTCCTCATTGCAAAGCCTCCAGCGTAGGAGCAGTTGCGTCGTAGGCCAAGTATCTAGTGATTCTCGGTCGATCTCGCCACCGTGCCTGGATTCCTGCAGGCCTCTTGGGGACCTTTTGGGAGGTCTGTGAAGGCTTCTTGGAGTCCTCTTCGGGCCCCCCCGGGGGTCCCTGGGGCTATCTCGGGGGCATTTCTGGGGCTTGGGAGGTGGTCTCGGCATCCATCTTGGTGCGGAGGGTCCGAAACGCCACTTCGGGTTCCCCCTCTTGGGCCCCTCTTCGGGACCTCCTGGGGGTTTCTCGGATCCCTCTTGGGGCCCTGTTGCGGCTTTCTCTCGGGGGCCTCTTCGTCCGGCTTCGCCGCTCTCAAGACAAACCGAGCGCGCGAACATGCAAATCTCATGCAACCATCTGGGATGCTTGAGTGATTTTAGCTTCGTGGGTCGGCTGGCAGGGCCTCCAAGGCGGCCCAAGCGGCGCCCAATGGGGGGCTCCATAAACTGACCACAGGGGTAATCTTACTACACGAGAGTCACGGCCCGCCCCCCTCCCCCCCTCAACCACGCTCTCGAGGTTTTTGGGGAAGCCATGTCGCAAGCGCGATCGCATGTGTTACCGCCACCCAATTCGGCACACCCATCACACGGATCGTGCCCCACAGAGAGCTCCACTTACGGCCCCAGTGAGGGCGCCCGCATGGCATCGTTCCGCCAATGTCGGCACACCCTTCACACAGCTCGCGCTCTGTAGGAGGATTTCCATACACCGCCCAATTGAGGACGCCCGCATTGCGTCGCCCCGCGCACTTCGGCACATTCCTCACACGGATCGTGCCCCCATGGGGAGTTCCAGGCACGGCTTCAGTGGGGATGTGCGTACGCGCACACACGCACAATTCAGCATACCCCTTTTGCGCGGATCGTGCCCCATGGGGAGTTCCACCTGCGGCTCCAGTGGGGGTGTGCGGATGCGGGCGAGCACTCTTTGGTGCATCCCTCACGCGGCTCGCGCTCCCATAGGGGGAGCTACGTCTGCGGCCCCACCGGAGTGTCCGCATGCGGGACTCCCGCCGCCCATTTCGACACATGCCTCGCGCAGATCGTGGTCGGGGCCCCGCCGTCGGTTCTACTTGAGCACCCGCATGCGATACCCGCACCAATTTTGCTACAACCATCTTGGGGATCGCTCCTCATAGAGGTCCACCTCCGGCTCCAGTCGGAGCGCGCACATTCTGATCTGTGCAGCACGCAGCTGCATGACGTTGGGTCTTGCGATATATATATATATATATATATCGGAGGTTGGGGGGTGAGATCGAAGTGGAACGGAGAGCCCCCCTACCGGGAAATCGATTTCGGTTTCGTGTTCGTGCGTGCCGTGCGGGCGAGGCGAAGCTGCGTGGGCGGGCGAGAGAAAGTCTCCTGTGGCTGAGGCGCGGCCGGAGCAAAAGAACCTTGACCGGGCGGCCGGTGCCCCGCGGTGTCCCGCCGGTGTCCCGCTGGTGTCCCGTGTGGCTGAGGCGCGGCCGGGGCAAAAGAACCTTGACCGGGCGGCCGGTGCCGCGCGGTGTCCCGCCGGTGTCCCGCTGGTGTCCCTTCGGTGTCCCGTCGGTGTCCCGATGATGACGTGGATGATATGATGATGATGATGGTGATGATGATGATGATGGATGATGATGATGATGATGATGATGATGATGATGATGATGATGATGATGACGACGATGATGATGTTGATGATGGCGATGATGATGATGATGATGATGATGATGTTGGTGTCGTTGATGATGATGATGATGATCATCATCATGATGATGATGACGTCGATTGTGAGATCGATTGATATCGATAGTGAGACCGAATGTGAGATCGATTGTGCGATGCTGATGGTGATGATGGCCATGATGGTGATGATGATTGTGATGATGATGACGACGTTGATGATGATGATGATGATGATGATGATGATGAGGATGATGATGAGGATGATGATGATGATGATGATGATGATGATGATGATGATGCTGATGCTGATGCTGATGCTGATGCTGATGCTGATGCTGATGATGACGATCATCCAGGGGAAGGGTGACGTAAACAACTCGACACCAACGCCCCCGAGAGCGAGCGGCAACGCAACTATCTCCACTGGCATTGTCACAACAACATTCACCACTGTTGCCCATTGCTGCCCCCCCCCAACCTCCTTATCACCCGCAGGGTGGTCGTATAGGTATGTATATATATATATATATATATATTCCTATATTTTTGCTAGCCCGGGCGGGGGGAAAACCCCTCCCCCCCAGAAAAAAAACCGAACTCCCGGGATCTGGGGCTTTGGGACCCTCCGGACGGGCCTCGAAGCGGCCCCCCGGGCCTCGCAGGGCGTGGCGCGCTCCCGAAACGACCCCATAGAGCCCCAAGACGGTCCACGACGACCCCCAAGAAGCCATCATACCCCCAAAGATCGTGCCGAAACGTCCCGAGAGGCCTCCAAGAGCACTCCCAAGAAGACCCCAAGAGGCAAAAATCATTGATTTTAAGTTGGTTTTGGCAGAATTTTGGGGTTCTCCTCTTTTCGGCTTCCCGACGCTCCAAGACGGCAAAATCGCCCCATAACCATCCGAAAGGGCTTCCAGGCAGTCCAAGAGAGCCCCAAAACGGCACAACAGGGGTCCAAGATGGCCCTCAGGGAGCCCCATGGCGGCCCAAGATGGCCCCAAGACACCCTCGGAAGCATTCCAAATCGTGACCCGGTCGTTCAGGGAAACCGCGGTTGGAGGCAGGGTGGCCCGAGGAAGCCCCCAGAGGCCCCCAGAACACGCCCAGGAGGCCTCCAGAAGGCCTGAGAAAGCCTGAAACACCTTTTGTGAGGCCCCCAGGGGCTCTCCAAGGAGACGCCTCCGCAAAAAGAGCCGAGGAGGATGGGGAGAATGCGCAGGGCATGGCGAAAATCAGGAAACAGAAACATGGAGGAAGGAAAACAAAAAACATTGTTATAGCGGCGATGCCGGATGAGCCATCAAGGAATTATCGCTCAATTGTCGGCTTGACCTTCCTGCTAGTCCGCCTGCGTACCAAACTTCAAGGAACAAGGTGCATGGCGCGACGCGCCACTGCAGTCTTGTGTATATATATATATATATATATATATATATATATATATATATAGATATTGCTCAATCCAGGCAAAGCTTCACCAACAAGTGTAGAGGACTCCAATTGAAACCCGCAGGACTGAACAGCGATTGCGTATCAGCTGTACGTTTCCGTAGGATCCAAAGTTCTCGCGCTACCGCTTGCCCAATTTGATTGGTTTCGCACTTTGTTTGCTTTTTTATCTGAGGTTGTGTCGGCGTGGGTCCCGCTCAACACGTAGAAGTGAGTGATGAGCAGCGAGAGCGGGGGAAGGACCTGCGAGGCACCTCCGACGGCTTGGACATGGAACGCACTGTGTTTCCAGCACTTGTGCAGTGCAGAATCAGGGAGCCGAGAGCAACCATACAGTTTTACGTCGGCGGCGAGGCAGAAGTGCTGCTCCAGCGGGCGGCGATCCGGGGCGATCGATACGCGAATTGGCCGGCGTAGTTGTGCATCGCGCCTAGTCTTGAGCACGACCGTCATCGCTCTTGTGCTCAAGTTTTTTGGCAGGAGCCACGGCCGCATGGCTGCGCCCATGGACCTGCTCGCAGCAGCGGGGCGGCTCGCGGAGCTCTGGGCTGCTACGCGGGTGCTCCTGTCCCGCCAACCCGCCCTGCCCTGTCCAGACTTGCGCTCTGACGTGCAGCGGACCGGCGACCAGCCACACCGGGGGGGCGGCGCTCGCCACCGGGCCTGGCTGGCTCACGGTGTGTCTCGCGGCGGCGGGCGGGGGCTTGCCGATTTGGGCCTTGGGGTGCTGGAGCGCGCCGGAGGCTCCGACCAGCTGCGCTCCCGGGGCGCCTGCGGCCGAGCGGCTTTCGAGCTCCTCCGCCGGGCCCGTGGCGCCCAGCCAGGTCGCCCTGCGGTCTTGAGAAGACCGTGGCGGCACGGCGCGCTCTCGACTTCCCCGAGACACAGGTGCTCATCATCGACTTCCCGGATGATCCAGCAGGGTTGCGCAACCGCCACCGTCTGCTCATCGTTCAGACGCCCGCGCCTGGCGTTTGGGTAGGATGCGCGCCCGACTACTCCGTCCAGCGCATCGATCTCAACGTGCACTGTGTGGTCGCGCTCGGACGGGACGGCTCTTTTCCAGCAGCTCAATCAATGGAGCGATAGCTACGACTTCTACAAATCCTGTCCCCGACGCCGAGTTTGCGCGAGTCCGCCAGCAGGCTCGTGAGCTGCCTTCGAATTGGGCCAAGCAGCCCCAGCGGCCGCTGCGGCGGTCGGCCCAGACGGTGCGTGGCGGGTCGCCGACCCGTCCATTCGCAGCTTCGGAGACGAAATTCTGGCCAAAGTCGTCTCAGACCCGAACGCTTCCCTCCAGCCCGGCCAGGCCGGCGACGAGGACTACCTCGCGGCGCGCGTGCTGATCGACGACTGCTGGAACTTTTGCGAGCTCGTGCCCGCCCAGGACAAGGTCTCCCAGGAACGCACTTTGGTGTCAGGCCACAAGCGCGACTCGCGGGTCGCCGGCGATCTCCGGGACCCCGTCACCAAGGAGCGGTTCATGGTCTTTTCGGAGTCCCTCGGGTTGCAGCACGTCTCAGTCGACCCACCTTTCCCCCTCGGTGGCCAGCCTCGTCGGTGTCGAGATTTTGGTATCATACATAGTGCAGATTGGGATGGCCGTCGCTCGCAATCCTCGGGGCCCTGACTTCCAGGACCTCGAAGCTGTCGTTGCCTCTACCGTCAACGACTTCGGCGGCTTCGTCCTCCCCGAGTACGCCAAGTGCATCGCGCAGATCCAGGAGGGCGAGGCTTTCGCCCAGAGGCAGCAGCGGCAGTGGCGCGAGGGGCAGACCACTCGCGCCCAGGGCCGCGGCTCCGCCTCCTCCGGCGACGGTGGCGGCAGCGGTGGAGACTTTGGCTTCGGTCGGGGCATGGGCCGCGGGCGCGGCCGGGGCGACGGGCGGGGGCGCGGCTGTCGGGGAGACCCCCGGCCGCCGACGCCAAATGGCCGCTGCCAGCCGGACTGCGGAGAGGCGACGCGCGCCCTAGCGTCGCTCGGCCCCAACTGAGCCCTCCGCAGCCCGCTTCTCGGGGGGGCGCGCGAGATGCCCGACTGCCGTAGGGGCTCCTCGATTTTTGACTGGTTGCGCTCGCGGCGCTTCCTTTGCCCTGCCGCTGCTCGGCAGGTCGACGCCGACGAGCGTGGCCCCTGCGCTCTCGCGCGGCGTGCGTCGGCGGGGCAGCCGGGCCATGGTGGCGTTGAACGACCTGGGCGCTCCGCTGGCGGCCGCGCGGCGCCTCGCCCCGGTTCCCCCGGCGAGCGCCTCCCAAGCATCGGTGCTCCAGCGTGTTCATCAGCGAGTGGCGGCCATCGGCGAGCCCCTCGGCATGGGCGGTGATGTCGCGCTTCGCTCAATCTTGAAGTCGAAAGACATCTGCAGTGCTTTGCCGTCGCTTGTTCGGCCCTGCGAGCCCCGCCTTCTCAAAGTTCTCGACGGCGGCGTCCGACCGCTGCCCGTCCGCTCTCTTGTGCCTGCATTGCTGCTGCCGCTGATCGACCGCCCCGAGAAGTTCATCGACCGCTCGCAGGCGGTGCTGGGCGGCGTGGTCGAGGCTGGCGAGCTGCCGTCGGTGCGCCCCCCCTGGGATCTCAACCTGCGGCACGACCCGACCCGGCGGCTCAACTTTTTCTAGCAGCTCGCGCGCGTCGGGCGCGCGGGCGTTCGCGCCCGATGCCGCGCCCGCGCCGGGATATACATTGTCGGGAAAAAAGGGCGGCACCCTGCGCGTGGTCATCGACGGCAGGGGGCCCTCGGCCATGCGCCGGCGCCCCCCTCAGACCGAGCTTGGCTCGGCCGCCGCGCTCAGTGGCCTCTGCCTCGACGCCGATCTCCCGCGCGAGGGTGGCTTCGGGTGCCGCGGCGCAGGCGCTGACCTTCAGCGGGGCTTCCACCAGATGCAATGGCTCGAGGTTGGCAGTTGGTTCTGCTTCGACTACCCGATGGCCATCAACAAGTTCGACGCGGACTGCGTCTGCGACGAGGTGAGCCGGAGGTGCGTCAACGTGGGCCCTGAGACCACCGTGCTCCCGTGCTTCCAGGGGCTCGCCATGGGCTGGAGCTGGTCGCTTTTCATCTGCAATGCCATGCGCGTCGGCATCGCCCAGGTGCTGTCGATCCCGCCCGACGACGTCAGGATCGTTTCTGAGCGAGCTCCCTTCGCCCGACTCGGCGCGGGCGAGCTGGCTGGCTCTTCTTCTGCCGACAGCTCGAACGCGGCAGGGTCGCCGCGCAGCCTGGTTGAGGAAGCGCTGAAGGCCATTCTGTGCGAGTTCGAGAGGCGCGGCCTGCAGTTCCACGAGGTCTCAAATGCGACGCAGGACTTCGTGCGTTGCGGCGTGCGCTTCGACTTCGTCCTGGGCCGGGAGGTGTCCCAGCTCGAGCGCCCCTGGCGGCTGCGTCGGACGCTCGCTGCCTTGATGGACCGCCGCGGCAGCGCGCCATTGGCCATGGGGGTGTTGCTCGGCCACATCGTGCACCCCTTCATGCTCTTGAGGCCCGCTCTTTCTGTCCTGAGCTCTCCGTGCCGGGTCGTGTACTCATCGGGCGCGCGCTGCGAGTTCAGCATCGACCAGCTGCGCGGGCTGACCCTCGTGAAGGCTCTGATCGCCCTCGCCGGGGTTTGACCTCGGCGCTAGCTGGCATCCGTGGGCGTGTTGCTCCGACGCCAGCATGTGGGGCTACGCTGCAGCCACGTCGCACACCGACGCCGACGAGCTGCATGACTTCGGGGCCTACCGAGAGCGTTGGCGCTTCCTCGCCCTCGACCCGTATGCCGACGACCCAGGCGACCCCCGGGCACCGAGGTCGCCGCGCAGGCCAGCTTCTCCGCGGCCGGCGACCGCCTCTTGGGCGCGGCGCCGAGCGGCGCCGACGCGTCGGGAGGATTGACTACCAGGCCACCGCGGCTGCGGCTCGCCGCGGCGGCATTCCTGCCCTTCCCGACTCGGCCCTCGCCGCGCAGCGATGGCAGCTGGTCGTCCGCGGTGCCTTTCTCTTCGCGGCGCCCATCCACGTCCTCGAGGGCCTGGCGATCTTGCTGGGCCTCAGGCGTGCCACTCGGTCGGTGGCGGCCCATGGGTGCCGCGCCCTCTCTATCGGCGACGGCCTTTCATCGATGATGGCCTGTGAGAAGGGCGGGTGTGCCAACCCGGTCCTGCGGCACCTAGCCCGCCAGTCGGCGGCTCGACAGCTCGCTGCTGGCATCCAGCACTACCGCCGCTACTGCGAGTGCAAGCGGAGCCCGACCGACTGCGACTGCAGGGCGGTGGGCCGCTTCGAGCTGGTGCCGGGCCAGACGCAGCGAGGAGCCGCCCGCGACTTGCCAGCCGGCTCAGCCGAGCCCCACCAGTCGTCGACCGCGACTGATTTAAACAAGCGCGGAGGAGTGTTGGCCCCGCGACAGTCGTCGACCGTGCCTGATATTATTAAATGCGGAGGAGTGTTGGATACGCGACAGTCGTCGACCGCGACTGATATAAACAAGCGCGGAGGAGCGTGGGTTCCACAGTCGTCGACCGCGACTGACATAAATAAGGGCGGAGGTGTGTTGGAGCCACGACCGACGTCGACGACGGGCGGGGCAGGGCCGCATCGCCTCGCAGCTCAGCCCCGCGCCCGGCGCCAGCAGCGGCACGTGCTGGAAGTCTATGCTGGCTGCGCCCGCCTCGCGGCCGCCTGCTTCGACGAGGGTCTCCAAAGCTGGGCCCCAGTCGACATCTCGCGGGGGCCGTGGCGCGATCTGACCAAACCGAGCGTCATCCAAGTGATCCGCTCTCTGATCGTTCGCCGTGAGGTGGTATGTCCATGCCCCTTTCGGCCAGGCCGCTCCAGCGCCTTGCCGGGGCGGGCATTTTGCTTCTGCCAGTGGCTCCGTCAAGTTCACGATCAACGTGGTTCGCCTCTGTGTTCGGTGCGGAGTAAGATGAACAATCGAAACCTTTCGCCGCCCCGTCTTTGGACTTGCCCTGAAGTCACGGCTTTTCTATCCCGTCACCGACATTACGTCATCACCATGCACTATGGCCAATACACTAGCCGCTACCTGAAGCCCGCCGCGCTTGTTACCAACCTGACGCCTCTCCAGGCCCTGGGGCCCAGCTGCTCCCGTTGACCATGTTAACGAGGTCCTTGAGGGCCTGGCGCGGCTTGGCCCTGGACAGGGCACAGTCTGGAAAACTCGTCTCGCTGGTCGGTATCCGCGTGCGCTGGCTCGAAAGTGGGTCGGCATCTTGCGCGCGCGCGCGCCCTCGGCAGGACTCCGCCATGGTTCTCGTCCTGAATGCCGGGGGGGGGGGCTCGTCTGGCAGGCGCCGTTAAGTGCTCCGACTGGGTGCGGGCGCCAGACCCCGTCTGTCCGCCTGCTGGCCATCAGGAGTGGAGGCCAGACCAGCTCGACTGGGGCTGCAGCGTCGCGCAGGCGCAGGTTGCCGAGCGCGAGCGCAGGCGCCGCTTCGGCCAGCGGGCCAGCTGTGCCGCCAGTGGCCAGCTCGCGGCCACGCCGCCCTCGGGCCACGGTGGGCCGGCAGCGGGCCGACCGCGACGACGTGGCCCGCGAGGACTTCCCTGCCGGGCGCCGCGCGAAGCCGCTGACGCAGCAGCGCTACCCCGGGCTGCGGCCGAGGCGCTGCGCTTCGCGGACAAGCGCCGCTACTGGCGGCACACGGCGCAGCAGAGGGACAAGCCCATGGGGGAGTACCTGCAGAACATCTTCGTGTCGGGGGACGGGATCTTCGCCGCGCGCGCGGCCCCGTGCGGGCATGCGCTCGAGGGGCGCATCAACCTGGGGGGCGCGCTGGAATTCCTCCAGGCCCGCCTCGCGCTCAAGGGCTTCGCGAAGGTGGCGCCGGGGGAGCAGCGGGGCCCCTGCCCTTGGAGGGCCGCCCTGCTGATGATCGACCAGGGCCTCGCATCCCCGATGCCTCGCGCGCGCGTCCACGGAGCCGCCGCCGCGGCAGTGGCGTTCGACGCGAAGCCGCCGCCGCGGAGCTGCAGAGCGCGAAGGCCTGCGACGTCGCGAGCCTCGGGCACTCCGCGAGAACCCTAAACCCTAAGAGCTAAGAACTTCTAAAGATTAAAACCCTGAGATGCCTTATGTCGCCCTTGCGGCGCCCCTTCCGCCGCCCCCCATTTTGGCGCGCCCCCCGCGCAGATCCTTGCCCTCGGAGTGCCGGGAATGGTGTTCTCAGAGCTTTTGCAAATCCCAGGGCGCGCCCCTCACCCAGATCCGTGGCCTCGGAGTGCCAGGGATGGCGTCGTCGCGCGCGCGTGCCGCGTCGCCGTTGCAGCGGCTTCCCAGGAGGCTTTGCGCGACTGGCGTCGCCGTCGTCGTCGTCGTCGCCGTTTTGAGATCAATATCGTAGTCTTCGTCGTCGGTATCGTCGTCGTCGTTTTGAGATCAATATGTCGTGGGTCATGTGTGGGTGGGGCACGTCCAACAGGCTTCAAATTTGGGCTAGTGGACCCTACGCCTTAAACTCTAAACCCAAACCCATGCGCATCTTCGGAGGCGCCGCCGCGGCAGCGGCCTGCGACGGCTCCTTGCGACTCGCGGAGCCGCCGAGCGCGAAGTCCTGCAACGTAACGTGCCTCCGGCACGCCGCGACGTCGGCCTACCCCCAGGTCTTGATTACCCTTATGCCAGCCGCTTCTCCGGACTGCCCGCCCTCCGCGGCCGCGAAGACTGGCGAGCGCGACGGCGCGGTCACCTTCGGCGCAGGCGTGGTATCCAGACGCTGGCTTGCCCGGCTTCTTCGAGACGTCAAGGCGGCCGCGCCGCCCGCCAGGCCGCTCTTCCCTTTCGCGGCACGTGAGTTCCATGTCACAGTTTGCTGATGCTGCTGGCTCGCAGCGGCCGCGGCTGTGCCCCCGCATTTTGAGGCGTGGAGCCGCGTCGACCGACTGCGCCGTCCAGTGCCGCGCCCTCTCAGAGGTGCAGCGTCATGGTCGTTGGAAGTGCGGCGCCAGCGTTCGCGATTGCGAAAAGGCTGGCCGCCTCGCGCGCCAGCTGGCGAAGCTGTCTCATGCCCAGTTGTCTGCCGCTGCCCTCGTGAACAGTAGACTTTCTCCCAAACCCTCGTTCTGTTTTGGCAGTTCGTTGTCAAGGTGATTCTTCGCCAGATCCCAACCTGGGAAACTATGAGGGACTGACACAACTTTGTACGATAAGCTTCTCTCAGTTGGTAAATCATATAGATAAGGTGCTTGCATTCGGCATCGCGATGCTTTAGCCTTCTTTGTCAAGCTATGCGTGCGCGAGAGTTTTCGCCGCGCGCTTGTGTTATCTCGCGCGCGGGGGCTATCGCCATCTCTGGTCGTGCGCGTGTGCCCGTGCATAATGTCTTTGATGTTAATTGTGCCTCGCGCCTGGTCTTGAGCGCGACCGTGATCGCACTTGTGCTCAAGCTTTTTGCGCCGTCCGCCGGTCCCAACCGCCTCACTGGGGTGATTGCTTCTGCTATTGTGCGCACTCCTTCGGCATCACGATGCGTTGGCCCTTTTTGGCAAACGTATCCCTTGCGCGGGGGCTTTCGCCATGCTCTTTTGTTATCCCGTGCTCGGGGGCTATCGCCATCCTTGGTCGTGCGCGTGGTCCCTTGCATTCTATTTACATATATTTTCACATATCGTATGCAACATTGTGCGTATACATATATTTATATGTATAAGGGCGGGGTGCCATGTATAATAACAAGCGCGCGACGAATGTGGTCTGCAAGGGGCCCAACGCACAAGGTTTTTTTCGAGATGGGACCAGCAGTTTTTATGTATACGGAAGTATACACGTGGTGTGCTTACTCAGTTTGTAGCAATTCCTAAATCAGAACTTGCCTTTGTGGGGGTCTCATCGGATTCATATGGTTCGGTGAGGTGTGTCACCGATTTCCGCGGCCTGCCCAGGTGCCCGGATGCCACGGTGCCTTGGTGCCCAGGTGCTTCACAGCCTAATAGCATTATAGCCCTTTAGCTCTACAGCCCTATAGCCTTGCAGCCGCCGTATAGCCCCATAGCCTTATAGCCCTATGGCCCTATAGCCTTATAGCCTTAAGGCTCTGTAGCCCTACCGCCCTGCATTCCTATGGTTCTATAGCTTTATAGCCCTGTCGCCCTATAGTCTTATAGACCTACAGCCCTATAGCCCTATTGCCCAATAGCCCTAAAGCCCTATAGCCCCATAACCCTATAACCCTATAGCCCAATAACCCCGTATCCCTATAACCCTTTAGCCCTATAGCCTTATACCTATTTAGCCCTATAGCCCAATAAGCCTACAGTCCCATACCCCTATAGCTTTATATAATTACAGCCCTATAGCCCCACAGCCCTGTATCCCTATAGCACTATAGCCCTACGGTCCTATAGCCTTATAGCCCCATAGCCCTATAACCCTATGGCCCTAGACCCTAGATGCCTATAACCCCATAGCCACACAGCCCCATAACCCCATAGCCCTATAGCCCTACAGCCTTCTAGCCCTATAACCCTATAGCCATGTAGCCCTGCAGCCCTATAGACCTATAGGCCTATGGCCCTGTGGCCCTATAGTTCCATAGCGCTATAGCCCCTATAGCCCCATCGTCCAACAGCCCAATAGCTCCATAGCCTTATAGCCCTAAAAAGATATTGATAGGGTTTTTCTTTTGTAGCATGTGTATGCAACGGCTACCCGTAATCGTAGCAGCTACGGTGGTCGTGGAAACATAGGCCAGCCAACGCTCCGCTTTTGTTTCCTGTCACCGTGCGCATCTTGACGCGTAAGCTGGTTTCCAGCTGTCGGTGTCGAGTGTGCCTCAGGCGTGTTCGAGCGCTGCCAGCCTGCTGCCCGAGGCAGCCCCGCAGAGCTAACTATTCACCCCACGCTTTCCCACGCCGCAGGGCGACTGCCTCCCGACAGCAGCATCCTTGGGATATCCACACGGTGGGGGCGTTGGCCAAGGACTGTGCCCAGGAAGCTTCAGACCCCGCAGGATTCCTTATCTGACAAGGGCGGCGGTGATATCCATGACTACTCCACGATTGGAGGTCCACCGGCTTCCAGACCCTGGATTCTTTATCCAATGATTCCTCTTCCAATGCCCTCACCGCAGTTGTGCGTAGTTCCCGTTAACCGCTGAGACAGCAGGAGGGGCCACTTTTCGGGGCCACGATCCGCGTGAATGGTGTCTCGAAGCGGACGCGGCTCCGCACTGCGGTCGCGCCCGCTGGGACCTCGTACGACATTCTCTTCGGGACACGATCTACGTCAGGGGTACGCTGACTTGCTCAGGTCCGCCTCTTCCACCTCTCCTCCTCCTCCTCCTCCTCCTCCTCCTCCTGTTCTACTTCTCCTCCTACTGCTCGGGCGTTATGGTTTCAGGGCCTTCGCTCGGTCGCACTTTCATTCGGCTGTCTGTTGTTGTAGTCAGCGCAGCACCGTCAGCCCTGTCTGCCCGAAGCGGGTGATGCGGACCCCGTCTACCTACACACGATGGGAATGTGTGACGGGGGGATGACGTGCCCGAAAGGCATGGCCTTGAAGGAGCCAGGAGGTGAAGGAGGAGGAACAGAGGGGGAGGGAGGAGGAGGAGGAGGAGGAACAGGGAGGGAAACGGAGGAGGAAGAGGAAGAGGAGGGTAGGAGGAGGAGGCGGACCAGTGTAAGCCCAAGAGTCAACAACGATGTTGTAATACACCCTCCGTCCAAGCTCCCTGTCCATAGACCCCTACAACGGTTCATGCCCACTGAGGGAACTGCCTCTTTGGAAGACAACCGTTTGAAGACTCTGAAGCATGCCAAAACATTGTTCTCGGGAGTCCAACGCCACGGATCACATTGACTGTTGCGTCTTGACGATCTTGGACTGTGCCAGGACGCCACTGCTGGGACTTCAACACAGCGAATCAACATAACTGTTGCTCCCTCATAATCCTGAGTCCGTCCAAAACACCAACTCTGGTACTCTGATCATGGGAATCCGTGAACCGCATGTGCGCGGCGCTAAGGCGAGGACCACGTTTTGAAAAAGGATCCGCCCTCAATGCGTGAAGCTCTTGCGATCTTGTAAAACGGATGTACGCGGCGCTATGGCGAGAGCCACATTTTGAAAACTTGCCGCCCTCAGTCCGTTTTGTTTGCATATGTTCAAGTCGAGTGTACGCGGCGCTGAGGCGAGCGGCAAATTTTAAATTATTCCAGTGCGACCCTACGTAGGAGTTGGAGCATGTAGGAAAGCAACATGCTATGCTATGCTATGCTGTGCTATGCGAAGCAATGCTATGCTATGCTATGCTATGCTATGCTATGCTATGCTATGCTATGCTGCGCTATGATTTGATATGATATGATATGCTATGCTATGCTGAGCTATGCTATGCTATGCTATGCTACTATGCTATGATATGCTATGTTATGCTATGATATGCTATGCTTGGCTATGCTATACTATGATATGCTGCGCTAATGCTGCGCTGCGCTATGCTGCGCTAGGCTAAGCTAAGCTATGCTAAGCTGATCTGAGCTAAGTCAAGCTAAGCTAAGCTAGGTTAGGCTAAGCTGAGCTAAGCTAAGCTAAGCTAAGCCAAGCTAATACAAGCTAAGCTAAGCTAAGCTAAGCTAAGACGCGATACGTTAAGCAAAGCTAAGCTAAGTTAAACTAAGCTAGGCTAGGCCAGGCAAAGCTAAGCTAAGCTAAGCTAAGCTAAGATGAGATCAGCTAAGCTAAGCTAAGCTAAGCCTAGCTAAGCTAAGCTGGGTGAAGCCAGGGGGCGCGACTGGGGGAACCGCGGGGCGGGGACTGGGGGAACCGCCCGGGGCGCTTTCCACTGCCCGGCCCCTTTAAGCTAGAGAGTAAGAACCCTTCTAGGCAGAGCCTAGGTAGGGAAAAACGACCCGCCTTCAATCCGTAAACCTCTTGCAGCATATTTGTTCCAACCATCCTGTGGTGTTGGGTCCTCGTTTTGAAAAGACGGTCCCCGCGTTCTCCTTCCTTCCTCATCCCCCCTCCTCCCTCCTCCCGTCCCCCCCGCACCCCTCACACGTTTCGTGGCCTCATAAGGAGCTCCACCGAAGGCCCAGTGGGACCGCCGGCATTCGTCATCCACCACCCAGCACAGCATTTCGTGGCTCCATAGGGAGCTCCACCGAAGGCCCCAGTGGGACCGCCCGCATGCGTCATCCACCACCCATCACACCATTTCGTGGCTCCATAGAGAGCTCCACCGAAGGCTCCAGTGGGACCGCCCGCATGCGTCATCCACCACCCAGTACAGCGCTTCGTGACCCCATAGGCCGCTCCACCGAGAACCCCAGTGGTACCGCCCGCGTGCGTCATCCACCACCCACTACAGCGTGTAGTGGCCCCACCGAAGGCCCCAGTGGGACCGCCCGCGTGCGTCATCCACCACCCAGTACAGCGCTTCGTGGCCCCATGAGGAGCTCCACCGCAGGCTCCAGTGGGACCGCCCGCATGCGTCACCCACCCCCCAGTACAGCGCTTCGTGGCCCCATAGAGGGATCCACCGAAGGCCCCAGTGGGACCGCCCGCATGCGTCACCCACCCCCCAGTACAGGTTTTCGTGGCCCCATAAGGGGGCTCCACCGCAGGCCCCAGTGGGACCGCCCGCATGCGTCATCCACCACCTAGAACACAGTTTCGTGGCCCCACAGGGCGCTCCACCTAAGGTCTCCGTCGCATGGCGGAGTTCGCATGCCGGCGATTTTAGATTTTCGGGGGTTTTTCGTCGTATTCGACGTGTTGAGGCCGCTTTCGGGCCGCGCATCCCGGGCGGGATCCAGCCCGCAGCGGACGACCCGCGCACGTCGCCGGGACCCCTTCGGGGCGACCAGTGCGCGTCGCGGGGACTCCGTGCGGCGCCGCGCCCGCAGCCTTGGACGTGGGCGTGCACGGGCAAAGAGGGAGAAGAAAAACGGGAAGGAAGCGGGCGCGATCCTCGTGAGAGGCGTTCCGACATGTCGACATTTATGCACGTAGACTCACGCGCTCGCAGACTCATCCACAATCAGACTCACGCGCTCTCAGTCTCTCGCACACAGACCTATCGTCTTCGATCGCGTTGTGTGCCCCGCCACGCATGTCGACGCGCCTCTCACACGGTTCGTGGCCCCATAGGAAGCGCGGGTCAAGATGATAGTCATAATTGCGGTATTCACAAATGCAGATGGTTGGGTCCTTCGCCAGTCGAATTAAAACGAGTGTGCGCGGCGATATGGCGAGAATCACAAAACGACCCGCCTTCCATATGAGAATATGTTGCCAATGTTTAAGCTTCAGGGTCATAAGTGGTGAGGAAGTCTCAGGCGAAAAGTCCGGCCCACCCTAAAATCTGGCTTCGGGGTGCGACAGGGAGAAGCTATCTATAAGGAAACAGAATGGAGGAGGAGGATGATGAGGAGGAGGAGGAGGAAATGGGAGGGAGGTATGGATGGATGGACGGATGCATGGAGGCATGGAGTGAGGGAGGGAGTAAGGGAGGGAGGGAGGGAGGAACAGGGGGAGGAGGTGGAGGAGAAGAAGGAGGAGGAGGAGGAGGAACAGGAAAAGGAAGCGGAGTATGGGGAGGAGGAGGAACACACGGTCCCACGAAGGTGAAGTTTAGTTGGAGTTTCTCAGTTCCTCGCCGCGCGCGCGCCGCCCGCCTGTTTGCTGCCATCTTGGGGCCAGGGGCGAGGACGAGACGAGGCGAACACTACGCAAGCCGTGTCGGTTCCCGCCAGCGTGCCACGGCCCCCTTGCGCATGAGGAAAACATTGCATCATCACGATGCGATCTAATGCGATTGCCCAACCCTTCCAGACAAGGGCATATACTCGTTGAGCGCATCAGTGTAGCGCGCGCAGCCCAGAACACCTGAGGGCATCGCAGACCTACCTGTTCTTGTTTCGAACGTCCTTTCATGACACACGCAAGGTCCCACTAAAGAGTTGCCCGGGGCAGGGCCGCGGCTCCCTTCGCCCAAGCGGCCGCGCTCGGTTGTGCAGTCCGCCAGCTCGGCCAGCGCGGGTCGTTCCGACCTGTGCCGCGGTCGCTGCCGCGGCCAGCGCGGCGCCTATAGCTCGCCCGCTCAAGGGCGCCGCAGGGCCTTCCGCGGGCGTTTGTCTGGCTCTTGTTGTTCCGCTGGCCACGGTGGCAGCGGTGGCCCCGTTTCGGCGGCGAGCGAGGGGGGGGAAGTGAGAAGGAGAATGCCTGCTCAGAAGGCGGCGGGACTTCTCAGAAACCATCCGGCGGACGCGACGGGCGTGGCGGACTTCGTAGTCCAAGAATGCAAAACGTTTCCGTCAATGCTGCACACTCGCGCAATGCATTTGCGTATGATTGCGTGGGCAAGTGGTCTGTTAAGGGAACCCCGGTTGGGATGCTCCGTCCAACACGTCCGTAGGGTTGCCCCGGTCTGTGCCTGTGCATCCAATCGATGTGGGTGCCTGACCGCGTGGGCCCTGGCGTACCAGGTTGTCGGAGTTCCATCGCAAGTCGGTCAAGATATCATCCTGCTTAGCATACGTTTGAGCACAGCCCTGGCAACGGGTTGACCGGTTGCTGCTGCGGGGGTTGCTCCGCCACGCGCTGTTGCGCCAACCCAAAAGGCGGTTCAGTATTGTGGCGTTGGCATTTAATTTTTTGCTGGAAGCCGTCCGAGTCGTTTGCGCAGTGCGCGGTCGCTCTCGTGCAGGCGCAGGGTGGCCGATTCGTGTGCGGGCTGATCCGCCAGAAGCAGAGGGTGGACTTGTGTATTGCTTCGCCTTTTGCACGTGCGGGGTGAAGGTATTTGCTTGCGCACGTGGTTCTCCGTTTGGCTGCTGGGAGGGGCCCGGCCGCTTGGCGGATAAACCCCCGAGACTTGCACGGCTGAGCTGCTCCGTTGCCACTTGCGTGTGGTCGGGGTCATTTGCCCCGAAGCGTGGTTTGTGCACGACGTCTGGCGGGGCGCGGCTGCGGATGTGTTTGCTGAGTCTGGCGCGGAAGCCATGCTTGCCTGGGGAGGCTGGCGATCGGTGGCGTCGGCCCGGCGGTGCGTGTCGGGCGACGAAATTGCCACCGGCTTTTGGCGCAGAGTGTCGTCGATGATTCCGGGCCAGAAAGCCAGGGGAGCGCTGTGCCCGGCTTCTGTGCCGCTCCGTTTTTCCTCCGTTGTCATTGGGCCAGGGGCGGCCTCAGAGCTTTGGTGTCTGTCAATGAGAAAAGAGGAGGGATGGGGTGTCGGAGATAACGCGCACTCGCGAGGGTGAGGTTTAGTTCGGCCTCCCCCGTTCCCCTCCTCGTTGCTTTGCCGCGCGCGCCGCCTGTGTGCGTGGGGTCAAGGGACGGGCCGCTTGTCCCGCCCGCCCGACCCTTTCTCCCAACCGTCCTGTGTGTTGGGTTCTCGTTTTGCTTAGAGCACTGTGGTATCCACCCCGTCTGCCTCCTCCTCCCGTGCAGTTCCCTGGGTGGTTGTGGGCTCCTGGGGGGCACGGCGGGGTCGTGGGGTGCGCGCTCCCCAAAAGGACGTCGCAGCTCCCCAGGTGGTTTCGAACTGTGCAACCGTT